AATACCAGCTTTGTTAATATATTTGGTTGGACACTATTTTAAACTGTTATTGCATTTGCAAATAACTGTATGTTACCATTTGATGTGTGATGACACAATTAGTATTGCATTTGCAAATAACCGTATGCTACCGTTTAATGTGGGATGACTCAATTACTAGGGAAATGATATAGATATGTCACACACAGTTAATAGGAAGTGCTGTAGCTTTGTGAGAAACTATGATACAGCGATTATAAATTCCTGAGAAATGGAAAAGTGGATCTGACCTCATGGTAAAGGTGGACATGATTATGACTGAGGAAATAAGAAGACAAGAGGAAGGGATTTCTAATTCAGGGTCGGCCTTAAATCTTGAGGGCAGAGGAAGAAATAGAAACAGAAATAGAGGGAGTAGCCGAGGAAGATCTAACTCGAGGAACGGAAGGCCAAAGTCCAGGAACCGCAAGGGCAAGAAGGAGATAGACTGCTGGAATTGTGGCAAGTTTGGCCACTATGAAAATCAGTGCCGAGAACCCAAGAAGGACAAGGAGAACAAGACTGAAGCGAACGTGGCCTCAGGAGAATCAGATGATGCCCTAATCTGTTCGTTGGAGAGCAAAACTGAATCGTGGGTGCTGGATTCCGGAGCTTCGTTTCATGCTACCTCAAATAGAGATTTATTTGAGAACTACGTTTCAGGAAACCTAGGAAAAGTCTATCTTGGTGATGATCAGCCTTGTGATATTGTTGGCAAAGGAGTCGTGCAAATCAAGCTCAATGGGTCTACATGGAAGCTGAGTGATGTGAGACATGTTCCTAGCTTGAGGAAAAATCTGATTTCCATAGGACAATTGGCGAAAGAGGGATACATATCAACCTTTGCATGTGATACATGAAAGGTTACAAAGGGATCCATGGTTGTTGCCCGTGGTACGAAGACGAGATCTCTCTACATGACGATAGATGCACGAGGTTCCATTGCAGTGGCTGAAGACAGTGAAGACCCAAATTTGTGGCACCAGAGGCTAGGTCACATGAGTAGCAAAGGCCTAAAGGTTATGCAACCGAACGAGAAGTTATCAGGTTTGAGATCGGCTGAAATTGACCTATGTGAAAGCTGCATTCTAGGGAAACAAAAGAGAATAAGCTTCAAAAGGGTTGGCAGAACTCCTAAAGAAGAGAAGCTTGAGTTAGTTCACACAGATGTGTGGGGCCCAGCATCAGTTCCATCCACCGGCGGAAGGTTATATTTCGTGACCTTTATAGATGATCACTCGAGGAAGACTTGGGTCTATTTCATGAAACACAAATCAGAAGTGTTTGAAGTCTTCAAGCGATGGAAGGCTATGGTTGAGAACGAGACCGGTTTGAAGATCAAGAAGCTTCGTTCTGACAACGGCGGCGAGTATGAAGACTCAGAGTTCAAGAAGTTCTGTTATGACAGCGGCATTAGATTAGAGAGGATAGTTCCAGGTACACCCCAGCAGAATGGCATAGCAGAACGCATGAACAGAACCTTGACTGAGAGAGCCAGAAGTATGCGGTTACAAGCAGATTTTCCAAAGTAATTCTGGGCAGAAGCAGTCAACACAGCTGCCTACTTGATCAACCGGGGACCATCAGTACCTTTGGAGCACAAAATACCTGAAGAAGTATGGAGTGGAAAGCAGGTAAACCTTTCTCACCTGAGAGTATTTGGATGTGTCTCATATGTACATCTGAGTGATCATGCTAGAAGCAAACTCGATCCTAAGTCCTTAAAATGTTTCTTTGTTGGCTATGGCGGCGATGAGTTTGGCTACAAGTTCTGGGATGAGCAGAACAAGAAAATCATCAGAAGCAGGGATGTGGTCTTTAACGAATCAGTCCTCTACAAAGACCGTGATGCAGTTCAGCCCACTAGCTCGATGCAGAGTGATCCTACATATTTCGAGTCAGATGATGCCTCAGATGGAGGCAATCCCGAAGCTAGTTCTGATGAAGAAGAAGAGATGATGGATGAGACCACTTCAGAGGGGGCAGATGAAGATGGAGAGACTGTTTCGCCCGTTAGAGAGTTGAGGCGGTCAGCTAGAGTTTATGATGAGGCCCTTCGAGTGGATGATGCGAGCAAGTGGGAGCTCGCCATGAAAGATGAAATAAAATCCTTGGACACCAACAATACATGGGAACTTGCGAAGCTACCAACGGGGAAAAAGGCCTTGAGCAATAAATGGGTGTACAGAATCAAAGAGGAACATGATGGTTCCAAGAGATACAAGGCTAGATTGGTGGTTAAAGGATTTCAGCAGAGAGAAGGAGTTGATTACACAGAGATCTTCTCTCCAGTAGTCAAACTGACTACCATCAGAACAGTCCTGAGTATTGTTGCAGCTGAAGATCTACATCTCGAGCAGCTAGATGTAAAGACAGCTTTCCTCCACGGTGATCTAGAGGAAGAGATATATATGCAGCAGCCAGAGGGGTTTACTCAGAAGGGAAAAGAGAAGATGGTATGCAGATTGAAGAAGAGCTTGTACGGCCTAAAACAAGCTCCAAGGCGATGGTACAAAAAGTTTGATGGATTCATGCATAGGAACGGTTATTCCAGGTGCAATGCTGATCATTGCTGTTTTGTCAAAGAGTTTGACAAGAGTTACATCATCCTGCTCCTATATGTCGACGACATGCTTGTGGCCGGCTCAGACATGAGAGAGATCAAGAAGCTGAAGAAGCAGCTGTCGAGTGAGTTTGACATGAAGGACCTAGGCACAGCGAAGCAGATATTGAGAATGAAGATCAGCAGAGACAAACTCTTAGGCACACTACGACTATCTCAGGCCGAGTATATTCGACGGGTGCTTGAGAGATTCGGGATGAGTGGTGCTAAGGCCGTCAGCACACCGTTAGCTAGTCATTTCAGATTGACTAAGGAGCAGTGCCCCGAGACTGATGAAGAGAAAGATTACATGGCTAAGGTTCCTTATGCTTCAGCCATCGGAAGCCTTATGTACGCCATGGTATGCACGAGACCTGACATTGCCCATGCAGTGGGAGCTGTGAGCAGATTTATGTCAGATCCAGGAGAGCAGCACTGGGAAGCAGTAAAGTGGATTCTGAGATACCTGCGAGGTACTATAGAAGATTGCTTATGCTTCAGGAGAGGCAAGTTAGTCCTGCAGGGTTTTGTTGATGCAGACTATGCTGGTGAGATAGACCAGAGAAGGAGCACTACAGGATACGTATTCACTTTGGGCTCTACAGCTATTAGTTGGATTTCTCAGTTGCAGAAGATCGTTGCTTTATCAACGACAGAGGCTGAATATGTTGCGGTGACAGAGGCAAGCAAGGAGATGATATGGTTGCAGGGTTTCTTGGAGGAGCTAGGACAGAAGAGTGAGAAGAATGTCTTACATTGTGATAGCCAGAGCGCAGTAGGCCTCAGCACTTGATGATATGGAGGTCGTCGCCGCAGAGAGAGTTGGAAGAGATTGATAGTTAGTCTCCAAGTGGGAGATTGTTAGGATATGTGAAGCCTAACTATCAGGCATGCCCTACATTTCAGAAGAGAGGAGAAACAAAGTTAGAACAGGATCGATGACGAAGAAGTTCAAGCAAAATGACAAAGGAGAGATTTGGCAGCTTTGCGGTCGATCGGTCATGGCGCGGCGGTCGACCGCCTACGTGCACAGCTGGGTGCACAGGCCAGGAGCTCGTCGCGGTCGACCGTCTGTGGCGCTGCGGTCGACCGCACGTGGTGCTGCGGTCGACCGGAGTCGGGGTTTGGCCCAGATTCGTTTTTTAACCTGATTTGATCTGTTTCCTTGTTTACTTGTTAAACCCTTAAGTCTATAAAAGGGTTGATTAGGGCATGATGTAAAGAGACGAAAAATAGTGAATTTTTCTCCTGCGGCGGCCGTGGACGTAGTTTCTCACATTGAGAAGCGAACCACGTAAATCTTGTGTGTTTGAGATTGTTTGATTTTCTCTCTTCTCTCCTAAATCTCTATTTCCAAATCGCATCAGGGGGGTTGTGCATCCCCAACATTGGGGAGCTGTTGTGGGGATATTTGGAGCACAGAAAAGAGGTATTTTTGGAGCTATTGGTTAAGAGCTTTGTTCATGAGATTAATTGGTGAGCTTGAGTGATTTGTAATCTCAGTTTGTACATTTCTTCTTTATTAGTGAAAACATCATCCCCTTCTTGCCCCGTGGACGTAGGTAACTTGCCGAACCACGTAAAATTAGTTGTTTGTGTTTGTGTCATCCCCTTCTTGCCCCGTGGACGTAGGTAACTTGCCGAACCACGTAAAATTAGTTGTTTGTGTTTGTGCCGTTATTTTGCATTGTTTGGCTTTCAGGTAACTTGCCGAACCACGTAAAATTAGTTGTTTGTGTTTGTGCCGTTATTTTGCATTGTTTGGCTTTATCTCTCGGCGCTTGTGTTTGGTTCCTCGAAGCACAACACTTGGCTTCCGCGCACAACAGCTTTTTCTCTCTCTTCTTTTCTTGCGTATCGGGTAAATCTACGCCTCCTTTCTTTCTCTCATTTGAATCTAGAAGCGGGACAAATATATTAATTTCTCGACTTACGCGCATAATTCAGAGCAAAAGTTTATAGACGAAGAGGAGATCATCAGGGCCCGTCTTCCTGCTACCATGGTCTTCTTTTGTCGCGCTACACGTTCACTCCTAATTATTGTTCATCATTTACAAACAACCAAGGGAAAAGTGTGTTTCTAGTAACAGCAATTGCTTGATCACACATGCTTGAAAGCGTCCAGTATTTATGGCTCATCATCTGTCACAGCGCAACAACAGGATATTTTCAGAAAGATGCGAATCTAAACAGCTTAATTCATCTCAAACCACAGAAAACCAAGGGCACCAAAAAAAACCAATGGGGGAAAAAAGGACATGCGTACAAAATGTGGGTCAGAAGTGTTTGAAAAAATCAGGGAGAAATAGACGGTTCCTCTGCACAATTAAATTATCTGCACTGGCGGGAGGTAGAACGCATCTAATGTCACTGTTACTCTCACCCATCATGTGAACAAGTACACACCATCCTTCTGCTATAAATTGAAGCCAATGCTTCACTGAAACCACCACTCAAATCCTGCTGAGAAAAGGAGGCCGAGATCATGGACAAAGCTAACTATGTTCCAGTATATGTGATGCTTCCAGTTAAGTGCAACCTTTAGCTTTTCGTTATCTGAGTCTAAATTAATCGTGCCGGTTTCTCATTGTGTATTTTCTGCCTGCAGCTTGGGGTGGTTAATGCTGACAATGTGTTCGAGAATCCCGAAGATCTCCGCAGGCAGCTCAAGCAACTGAGAGCAGCGGAAGTTGACGGAGTGATGGTTGACGTGTGGTGGGGGATCATAGAAGCAGGCGGGCCGAAGCAGTACGATTGGAAAGCATATAAGAGCTTATTCCAAATGATCAAGGAAGAAGGCCTAAAGTTGCAGGCCATTATGTCATTCCACCAATGTGGTGGAAATGTAGGGGATGTTGTTAACATCCCTCTACCAAAATGGGTTCTTGATATCGGGAGTTCTGACCCTGATATCTTTTATACTAATAGAGCTGGTGTTTATGATCCAGAGTATCTCAGCCTCGGAGTGGACAATAAACCACTTTTTGGTGGACGGACTGCTCTGGAGGTTAAGCTCGTGAATTTGAACTCTAACGAAATCTAATGTAAAGTAGTGCTGTATCGTACGAAAATTTTAAACTTGCTGTGGTTTTGACAGCTTTACAGCGATTACATGAAGAGTTTCAGAGAAAATATGTCGGAGTTCTTGGAGGGCACGATAACGGACATCGAGGTCGGGCTTGGCCCCTGTGGAGAGATGAGGTACCCATCATATCCACAGAACCAGGGCTGGGTTTTCCCTGGAATTGGGGAGTTTCAGGTAAGTGCCGCAAATTTTCCGATGTTTTTGCTGAATTCTTAAACCTCGTGAATCTCTCGCTACCTCACTTCTGAAGCAGAAAAGCAGGCAGTCATCCATTGTTGTTTGTTGTGACAATCCCTGTTGTTTATATCTCATATATACTACTACATAGTTTAGGACTTTTCAGATATGTCATTCTAAATTATGAAATTTCCTCTATTCCCTTCATGATTTCAATTTGGCAGTGTTATGATAAGTACATGAAGGCAGATTTCAAAGATGCTGCAACAAAGGCAGGACATCCTGAATGGGATTTGCCAGATGATGCAGGACAATACAACGATACACCTGATCAGACCAAATTCTTTGGAGAGAATGGAACATACCTTAGCGAGAAGGGGAAATGTTTCCTAGCATGGTACTCGAACAAGTTAATTGAACATGCCGATCAAATCCTGGATTTAGCTAATCAAACTTTTCTAGGCTGCAAACTGAAGCTCGCTGCTAAAGTACACTTCTCTATTTCAGAATTGCACAAATAAACTTATGATAATATATTAATGTCTCTGCATTAACATGTCATTTTATTTATCAAGGTTTCTGGTATGCATTGGTGGTATAAATCTGCTAGCCATGCAGCAGAGCTCACTGCAGGGTACTACAATTTGAACGATCGAGATGGTTATAGACCAATAGCAAAAATGCTCTCTAGGCACTATGCCATCCTTAACTTCACCTGCGTCGAGATGAGAGACTCTGAACAAAGTGCAGATGCTTACTCTGGGCCTGAGGAACTTGTTCAACAGGTGAATGCGAGCCCATTTACTCTGTAAGGGTTTTTCCGTATATGTACCCCTTAACTCATGCCTATTTGCAAAACAACCCCCAAATCTTAATATTTGGAAAACCAACCCCTACCTACATCATCTACTTTAGGAAACAAATAACCCCAAATCAACAAATCTTCAACTTTGATAGGCTAATTCGTCACTGCAATATAAAAATGTCAACAAAAAGCTTAAATATTTACTAGTCATATCCAACAAAGTTGATTTGTTGGTTGTGGGGAAAAGTCGATGCTATGGGGCGTAATGTTGCAAGTATTTATATTTGAGGGATAGTTTTGCAAACACGCATAACTTAACTTAAGGGGTAGATATAAAGAGACGAATTCTAGAAATATCAATTGAGAGCATCATGTGAATAACAAGATTTAGTTTGTTACAGGTATTTAGTGGGGCTTGGAGAGAGGATATTGAGGTAGGATGCGAGAATGCACTCAACAGATACGATGCAAATGCTTACAATGAGATACTGAAGAACTCAAGACCCAATGGTGTAAACCCAAATGGTACTCCAAAGCTGAGGATCACAGCAATGACGTATCTCAGACTGGGACCTGACCTCTTGAAGACCGACAATTTTGATCTGTTCAAGATTTTCGTGAAGAAAATTCATGCTGGCCTGGTAAAGTGCTACCTTAAGCTATCGTTGTTACGGAAATTAGGCCAGTAGCAAAGTTCTTCGCTAAATATCTTAATTGTTCTGCAGGATTATTTGCCAGATCCATCAAAATACTTTAAGCCTATAACTCCATTGAAGAGATCGAAGCCAAAGATGTCGATGAATACTATATTGGAAGCAACCAAAGTGAGTCCGCCTTTCCCATTTGATGCTGAAACAGATATGCCTGTGAACTAGTTGTTGCTAGATTGAGAAGATGGAGCCCTTTGCTGAATAAAAATCCTATAAATTATGTACTGGAATAAGTCGCTCCAAGCAGCGAGGTAGCTGTGAATTACTTGGAAAATCCATGACGAGTGTGAATAAATGCAACGAACTTGTTTCGAGTGAAAACGCAAGGAACTTTTGTGTGTCAATGTGGTATATGTTACTTGTTACTACTGTTTCTCTGCTACAACTGTGTGTTTCAGTTGATAATGTATGCCTTCTACCGTAATTCTCATCATAATGAATTGAGTACTGCTTTACTGCACGAGCTGTAAAATAAGAATTACTTCAAATAATCCCCATTGTGTCTTTCAGGAGTCAAAAGGGTTTCGAGGATGTTTATATTTCGATAGCGCAGGCTGCAACCAGTTGCATACCAATAATAATAATAATAATAATAATAATAAAACAAAATAGAAAAAATGGGAGATGATAAGCATTGATCTTAATGGTTTACCATTATTAACTTAATTTTCTGCAATTTAGCTTAGCTTAGATCGATGACTTTTCATCCACACATGGCTTAAGTGAATCTATACAACATCCAATGGCACTTGTCTCGAGATACTAATTATCCAGTGTTGAGAATGGTTGGTCCAAACCATTAGTCCCACATGTAAAAATTGTAGAACTCAACATGGGTATATAAGTGGGGGATTGTCTCCACATAATAACGAGGTCTTTTAAGTTAAAACCCCACACATGTGGCCCAAAGGTGTTAAGTTGAGGACAATATCATTACTATGTGCTTGGACCGGCGGACCCAGTTGCCCCCCCTAACAATTGGTATCAGAGCTTGATGGTGAATCCACGTACTTGTGAAGCAGTACCGGTAGCTGGACTTGGTGGAGTCAGGAAGAACTCGGTAGAACCTAAGGTGATGAGTCGCTACAAAAAGTGTTCTGGTAGCTGGACTCGGTGGAGCCTATGGTGGAGTTAGACTCGGAGAAACCAAAGGTGGAGTCGCTATAGTCCTACGTACACCCAGGGGCTGTCAAGGTGGTTGTGTAGGTTCCTCGAGTAAGGTGAAATAGGGTGTACCTCGAGATGTGCATTGTACCGGTAGCTGGACTTGGTGGAGTCAGGAAGAACTCGGTAGAACCTAAGGTGATGAGTCGCTACAAAAAGTGTTCTGGTAGCTGGACTCGGTGGAGCCTATGGTGGAGTTAGACTCGGAGAAACCAAAGGTGGAGTCGCTATAGTCCTACGTACACCCAGGGGCTGTCAAGGTGGTTGTGTAGGTTCCTCGAGTAAGGTGAAATATGGTGTACCTCGAGATGTGCATTGACCAAAGATGGACGATCTTGTGGACAATGTTGAGTGGTGATCTACATGGACAGTTCAAAGGAGGATTCATGGTGGACTAAGGTATAGGTCCAGGTGGAGCCGGGTGGATCGGTGTTAGTTCACGGTGGAACCAAGGTGAACTGGTTTGAACCAATGTGGAGATTGTTGAGAATGGTTGGTCCAAACCATTAGTCCCACATGGGGAAATTGTAGAACTCAACATGGGTATATAAGTGAGGGATTGTCTCCACATAGTAACGAGGCATTTTAAGTTAAAGCCCCACACCTGTGGCCCAAAAGGTGTTTAAGTTGGGGACAATATCATTACTATGTGCTTGGACCGACGGATCCAGTTGGTCTCCCCCTAACATCCAGTGGTGTCTAGTCACATTACTAAAACAAAATCCTGGATTCACCTGTGAACACTAGCTTATAAAAAGTAAATACATAAAGTTGTTGAACAAGAGAGGTTGATAAAGAGGAAAAATAATAAAAAATTGTTTAAATCGAAAAATCTATTATTAGAGGGCTTATTAGTAAAGGATAAATTTTTTTTAAAAAAATATTTTTAAAATAATTAGCAAAATCAACCATTTTGCAAAATAATTAGCAAAAATCGATCCTTTTTTGACCCCGTCATAAAGGCTAGCCGAAAAGGGGTTTATTTTGCAAAAAATCATTTTTAAATTTTATTGGACTAGCAGACCTGTGTAATTAGGGCTAACTAATCCTATATTCAGCAAATATACGGGGCTAGTAGTACAATGTACTTTGCAGAGGCTTCAGCAAATACACGAGACTAGTAGAGCCGTGAATTTTGCAAATCCTTCAGCAAATACATGGGACTAGTAGTACCGTGTACTTTGTAGAGGCTTCAGCAAATGCACTGGACTACTAGTCCCATGTATTTCCTAGACATACACAAAACATGCACGAGAGTGTTAGCTGATCTCCAGTATATATAACAACCACTTGTACATATAAAGCATTCAAATTAACTTCATATACATATACAAACATATACTTTTCATAAATTTCCTATACATAACTTCATACACATCACATCAACATGAAAACAGAATTTACACCGCATCCAAATGAAAACACAAATGATAAAAACAAATACATGTTAACTCCATACACCAAAATACATCATGCCTATTGGTTTACAAATAATCTAAATAGTAAATAGATTCGATACAAAACCCATAAATCACATACATCCTAAATGTACTCTCCTTCCCCTCTTTCTTCTTCCATGGCCCTCTCGTCGTTGGCATCATTGGTAGACATGGGTTTGAGCTTGCACGAGCCCGTTGTTCGGTTACATGTGTAGTTGAGACGGGCTAGCACCATGTTGTGAAGATCCAACTTCATCATTGTTTGGTCGGAGGTGCCTTCGATTCAACATACTCCTCCCCTCCATCATCACCTCTAGGTCATCATGAAGATCCTTGTGAGTTTGATGCAAAGCTTTACAAACCCTCCGTACTATTTGTTGATATCGCGATGCATGTAATCCTAGATTTGTGCATGTGACAAAAAGTGTTAAACCCTCATTTACAATGACATCATACAGGTGAACCCACTGTTTGCATTATATCACCATCGTCTCATACGTGGGTTATAGATTCAGGCACAACTGATCATATGATTGGAAATTAAGGTATATTATCCTCTTGTACACCTACCACATCCTTTCCTTCAGTTATATTGGCTAATGGATCCACCACACCTGTGGAGCGTGTTGGATCTACCAATATTAATACTATTTCGCTTTCAGTTGTGCTATATCTTCCTTGTTTTCCATTTAATCTCTTATCTGCCAATGAAATTACTAAAGGATTAAATTACACGATAACATTTTTTCCTACACATTGTATTTTTCAAGCACTTTGGGCAAGGAAGACGATTGGCACTAGACGTGAGCGGAACAACTTGTATGAACTGAACTTTGCCCCTTCCCAGGTGGCATGCATCAGCTCCACATCAGCCTTTGAAACACATTGTGAGCTTGGTCATCCCTCTCTTTCAATTCTTAAAACTTTAATTTCAGATTTAAATCATGCCGAGTCTTTAGAGTGTGAGTCATGTCAACTAAAAAAACACCAACAGGTGTCTTACCCGAGTCGCGTCAATAAGTGAGTCAATAACCCTTTTGATTTAGTGCATTCTGATGTATAGGGCCATTGTTATGTTCCATTCAAAGTCGGTTTCTACTATTTTGTTAGTTTTGTGGGTGACTTTTCTTGCATGACTTGGATTTTACTTGCTAGAACGTCGTTCTGAAGTGTTCTCTATTTTTAAAGTTTTTTGTGCTAAGGTTAAAAATCAATTTCATAGTACCATCAAAACTTTAAGAACATATAGCGCTAAGAAATATTTTGAAAGCTCTTTCATAAATATTTGGAAGAAAATGAAAATTTACACTAGTCTTCTTGTACTTACACACCCCAACAAAATGGGGTTGCTGAGCACAAGAACAAACACTTACTAGAAATTGCTAGGATCTTATTATCCCATAGTCAAGTTCCAAAATATGTTTGGGGTGATGCCATTTTGATAGCCTGCTACCTGATCAATAGACTATCCTCATCTGTCTTACAAAATAAAACCCCAATCTCCTTTTTATATTCGGCTGAAAACGCTTTTCATTTACCTCCTAAGATCTTTGGATCTCTGTGCTTTATTCATAATCATAGTCTTCAACGGACGAAATTAGATTCGTGATCCCTTAATGGTATTTTTCTTGGATATTCTAAGACTCAAAAAGGGTACAGATGTTATTGTCCATCCTTGAATCAGTATATTATTTCAGCTGGTGTTGCCTTCTTTGAGAACAAACCAGGACATGTTAGCCTTTGATAAATTCTTAGACCCTCCCGATGATGATGACTATCTTCTTGTTCGGAAAAACACTATCAATTTTCCTTCTAAGGCTGTTGTACAGACTGATCTACTATTCAAATTTGTAGAACCAGTTCAGATTTATACAAGACGTACTACTTCGTAACTTGAGCCATCGTCTCAATCCACCCAAGAGCCTGCTATACTAGCAAGTCAAAATGTTCTCGTAGAGCCAAGTGCTCAGGCTACTAATGGTCTTCCCATTTTCCTCTGAAAGGATAAGAGATATTGTTCTCTAAGTTCTCAGTATCCTCTTACACACCGTGTCTCTTATGCTTTGTTAACTCCATTATATTACTCATTCATATCTTTTTTTGGATTCTCACTCGGTTCCCAATAATTTGTCAGAAGTTCTATCTAACATAGGTTGGACAGTGACAATGCAAGAAAAAATGACGGTCTTAGAAAGAAACGAGACTTGGGATCTTGTTTCTCTACCACAAGGGAAAAAGGCAGTTGGTTATAAACGAGTTTACACTGTCAAAATAAGTCCAGATGGCTCTCTAGCTCACGTCAAAGCTTAACTATTTGCGAAAGGGTAATTGCAGATCTATGGTCTATGGTCTTGATTATTGATACATTCTCTCCTGTAGCTAAAATAACATCTGTCCACATTCTTATTTCGCTTGTTGTTCGCTATCATTGGCCGCTACATTAGTTGGACATTAAAATACATTCCTTAATGGTATTCTTGATGAGGAGGTTATATGGAGCAACCACTAGGTTTTGTTGCTCAGGGGAAGTGTGGCAAGGTTTGCAGTTTAACAAAAAAAATCTCTCTATAGTTTGAAGCGATCTTCGAGGGCTTGGTTCGGACATTTTGCCGCAGCTATCCAGACCTTTGGTCTTCATCGAGCTCAGAAAGACCACTAAGTTTCTGAAGATTTCATGGTGGGAAGTAGATCCTTTTGGTTGTATATGTTGATGACATTGTGATCACTAGCGACGATGCACATGACATTAGTCATTTGAAGAAATATCTACGGCAACAATTTTAAATTAAGGACCTTGGATCCTTAAAATATTTTTTGGGTATCAAGGTAGCTAGATCGAAGAAGGGAATTTTCTTATCTCAGAGAAAATATGTACTTCATATGTTGTTAAATGCTGGGATCTCATAATGCAAGGGCACTAACTCACCTATGGATGATAAGATCAAACTACTATTGACTCAGGGGGGGGGGTTGACTATTGGAGGATACTAAAGAATACATGCAACTTGTAGGAAAACTACCCTATCTAACAGTCACGAGACTGGATATTACATTTTCTGTTAGTGTAGTCAACCAGTTCCTCTCGACACCTAGAAAACCTCATAAGGAAGATGTGAAGAGGATTCTTAGGTATCTCCAGAAAACTCCAGGAAAAGGAGTACTCTATTCAGATAGCGGTCACACGAGAGTTGCATGATTCTCAGATGCAGATTGGGCAGAATCTCCTGAGGACAGACGCTCAACTACTAGATGTTGTGTGTTTCTTGGATGAAATCTAATATCATGGAAGAGTAAGAAGCATAGTGTAGTCTCTCGATCTACAACCGAGTTTCTGAGTTTCCGAGTATCGAGCTATGGCGAATTTGACTTATGAGCTGATTTAGGTTAGAGATATGCCAGCAGAGATTTAGGTTAGAGATAACAAGGCTGCCATTTACATAGTTGAGAATCGTGTATTTCATGAGAGGACAAAACACAGAGAGAATAATTGCCATTTGATTCGTGAGAAGATAGATAAGAGAATCATTAGAGCCAAGCATATACCATCAGACCATCAACTTGCAGATATTCTCACTAAACCTCTTGGGAGAACACGAGTGAATTTTATTTGTAACAAGCTAGGCATGTACGATATGTATCATGCCATCTAAGTGTTTATCGTTGATGCATTCTTGTCCAATCTATTTGATGTCCTCCTTTCTTGTTCTTTTTATCTATTCTTTCAACTTCTTGTGAAATATGTTGTGTCTAATCAAGCTGTCTAAGCACGCGATTCGGTACATACATCTCCACAATCTCAAAACATAAGGTAATTAGGTTGCAACAATTTCCCCGTTTAAAACCATAATTGGCAAGTAGAAAGGGCAGAAAAGCTCAGTGTGACAGCATTGGAGGGCAAGTTTGGTAATACGGAAGAATTGTGGGGGTATATACATGCAAAAACCACAAAAACCCCTTCAAAGTCTCATCCAGTTGGATCTTACTACCCCAACCCCCCACCCCAGCGCGGCCGCCGGCGACGAAGAAGGCGCTATGTCTTTAGGGCTCGAGAGATGTACCAACAAGATCGCCAGAAAAGTTGATGCGGATTCGATTCCAGCCCAAGTCATGGAATCGGTGAAGAAAATGCTCCCAAACAGACAACAAGATCGTCATGAATCGGGCCAGAGAGGACTCTTCGCCGGCCGCCATATCCAGTTCGGCAACAAGACGCCCTCCAAGGACTCAACAAGTATCCCCCCCTCAACACTCAAATTCTGAAAATGTTTTTTTTTAAAATTTTAATTTACATAGTTAGAAGACAAACCCAAGTTAAGATCAAAACCTTTTTGTGCTGGGCTGCGTAAAATTTAGATTAACGTATATAAGAAAAAATGAATCTCTCCCTTTGTTTGTTGTTCAAGTAATGGAATATATCTTTCGAAATCGCGTCTTGTAGCTTCATAGTTGTGAGCTTGACCGATCCATCTTCGCTAAAAATGATCTTGGAATGGCTAGTTTGTTGCTATAGAATGTAAGGGGTTGGTCGATTTATTACTTCGATCATTTTACCTCTCTTTTCTTGTTTTTTTTCATGTCGAATGCTCCGTGTCGAATCTACGCAAAGTGTACACAAGTTAGTTATAGGGCATATACACCCTATAACCATGTCATAGAGTTGATTAGTTTGGTTCATTCAAATTATGTACGCAGTTTTACCCATGGGGCAACACAGTTATAGCGTAGGCTTGAACCTTAGATTATTGATAGTTAATGAAAACTAATATTTAACATGAAAAGATGGAAATACAAAGAGAGCAGGGATGAAAATAAACTAGAATTTGCGCAAGGCTATCTTCTTTTGTGTAGATAGTCAGGTACATGTTTTACGACATTGTAGGGGCTGTACATGGTTCTTATATATTATGGTATCTAAATGATTTTTGAATTTTAGATATGTTTAATAGTCTGGTACTATTATATATCCATCTCCATAGTTTAGATGGATGGATATGGATATCGGTACTCCGAGGCTTCGAGCAGATTATTTGGTTTGCATCCTAAAAGTAACCCAGACAAAACAAGTATGTTTATGAGGATCATTAAGTGGTAAAGAAGGGTACCGTAAAGTAGTGGAATCATATTTCCTAGTGGCTAGTTACTGTCGGGGAGGGGTTGCACCTGTAAAGGATTAAGAGTTGCACCCTATTTTATGTAGCTTTTTGCCCCTTGGCTCCTCGCCTTATCATAGTTGCTGGTTATTATCTCGCTAAAGCCCTGGGACCCCTAAATGCTATATCGTAGCTTCTGGCTTGCTTCGCCCTTTAATTTCCATAACAGTGTTTGCGTTAGTCAAAGATATTATCTACACACCTTAAAGTAGCGAAAATCAGGGTTTGATGGCACAAGATGAGAGTGAGTGGTGAACATGCCTAATATTTGTGCCGGTCTCATGAAAAATCATGATTTATTCTGATAAACCATGTTATTATCATTTAAATACTTGCAGTTATTGGAATCCTCATTGCACAATTTGTTTTTCTAGTTAAAAAAAAAACTCCATTCTCACATTACTTATTCTATGCCATAGATCTAGACGGAGCTGGAAGCCCAACGTACAAGAGAAACGCCTATTTAGCTATATCCACGACCGCCATATCCGTGTCAAAGTCACCACCCATGCTCTGAGATGCATTGACAAAGCTGGTGGAATTGATGAGTACCTTTTGAAGACCCCTTACGAGGAGATGGACACTGAGTTGGGCTTGCTTTGGAAAGCTAAGATTGAGAAAATGTACGCAGAGCTTGGTAATATGGAAGTAGGCTTCTTCACCCCGGAAGAGGAAGGGAATATCGCAAAGGGTTTCGAAGAGCTCAAGCTCGCTAAGAGGGAGGCTCGTAGAGAAGCCAGAAGAGTTGACTCAAAGAAGCCGATGAAAGAGTTGAGCACTGGCGATGATCAAACTTTAGAAGCAGGGCCGATTGAGGAAGGAGGTACTGATGATTTGAAGAAGGCGGCGCAGTAGACTTACAATTCTTCTACTATGGGTTTTCAAGTACGACATGAGGTCTATAGTTGATATTCAGAGTTTTTAATGGTGACGAAATCCTTGTGAAGAGTATCTATAACTAGACAGGCCTTTGATGAGAAGTTCTTTTTGTTGAATTCAAGTGTCGTATCTTGTTGAAAGACGATGCGCCATTCCCTTGTTTTCCCAGGCCTCTAGTTTTTTAATTGACACCTTTTTTTTTTTACGAAACGCAAAAAATAAAGCTTTAAGCTTTGGTTGTGAGCTCTGTAACATTATGAGAATTTGAATCTTGCTGTTTATGGTATTGTTGTCAGTTAAATCTTGGTAGTCAATGACCCGGATGATATGCCTATATTCAAGGAATCAGAACAGTTTAAATGGTGTTTATTAGTAAGGCATATCGTGTGATTTTTTGTGGATGCTCATGGATTCTTACAAATATTTTCGGATTGGTATGTACAGAATAAACTAGTGTACACCTCGTGCAAAGCAAAACACGACCCCATTTTTTTATTTCCGCTACACCAATTCTGTTTTTAAATGTTTTTATAAGTGTTACAGTAATATTTTTAAAATGCTCCTGTATTAGGGTCCGTTTGGTTGGTTTCGGAGGAGCTCAAAAGCTGCCACAAATGTCTCATCTGTGGCAGCTTTCGGGCTCTTTCCCACCCAAAAATAGAGAACCAAACGGACCCTTACAGTGATAATGATACATAGGCCTCTTATGTGCTACAATAATTTACTGTATTATTTATTATTTACTGTAGTATGAATAGTAAACTTTTAAATCCTCCTATTGTTACAGAGCAATATATGACTTGATCTCTGACCAAACAAATCCAAGAGTTCTTCCAAATATTGCTTACTTTATGGGCCTGTTCGTTTGGCCAAAAAAACTGGGAAATCAAACTTTAGGAAACCTATTTCCTATTATAATTACTTTGAAGTTGTTTGGTTGGTTTAAAAAAAAAGGAAATTATAGAATAGGAGATGAGATGAGATGAGTTGTCACCTTATTATTGGATGATGTGAGTGATTTTTTTAAAAACTTGTTTTGAGGTTGTTTGGTTGGTTAAAAAAATAAGGAAATGAATTGGAGGTATATTATTGGATGATGTTTTGAGGTTGTTTGTGTTTGGTTCGTTTTTAAAAATAAGAAAATATATGAGATGAGATGAGTTGGAGGTATATTATTGGATGATGTGACATGTACTTAAGGAAATTAATTTCTTGTTTTTTTTGAGGAAATGAGTGGAAATGAATGTTTAATGAGATGAGATGAGTTGTCACAATATTATTGGATGATGTGTGTGATTTTTAAAAATAAGATAAAATGAGATGTGATGAGTTGGATGATGTGACACATTTCTTATGTTTGGTTTATTTTTAAAGGTAAGAAAGGAGATGAAATGAGATGAGTTGGAGGATAAAAATAATATTTTATTGGATATTGTGGGTGAGTTTTAGGGATGGAAATGGATAAAAATATTATTTTATTGATTTCCTTGTACCGATTTCCTTTTCTTGGTTTTTAGGAAACCAACCAAACAGCCCCTATTATTCGCCGCTCCAGCTACAGGCCCGCAGGCCGTAGTTTATTCGGCCGGCCCATCTAATTTAATATAATAGGTCTTGTCCTTTCGAAGGCTGGTAGTAAATGACAAATATGCCCAAACCCGCTCAATACCCCACAACGACCTCCACCTCGAAGATTTCATAAGTAATTAAATTGGTTTCCTAGGGGTCTTTTCGTCATTCGCAAAATACCAACGCGCCTCGTGTTTCGTTTCAAAAATTTTCAAACCGCAGCAGTCTCTCTTTCTCTCTCCCCCCGTCGCAAGAGACAAGCAAGGAATCTCTGCAGAAACCCTAACCCTAATCACCGAATTCGAAGCACAGATTTAGGGTTTTTCTTCGATTCCGTCTCACGATTCAGTCCATGGGCTTAGATGTATAAGGTTTGATTTTTGTCTCCTTCCTGTTTTAATCTCAATCTCAATCTCAATTCTAGGGCTAGGGTTTCCAACTTTGAGCTCATTCTTCTAGATTTACACAGAAGAAAGAGAATCTCGGTCCGGTTCCTTCGAATAAGCGGGCAAAGATAGCCGACCCTCCGATGGTGGGCCCCAATGTCAGCTCCCGCGGCCGCCAGGCCCTCTCGAACGCGAACGGGCTACCGCGGGATCTGATGCGAATGCGATCGAGTTCAATTCGAGAGAAGATGTGGAGAGGGTTTTGAATGAGAAAATGAAGGGAAAGAATAAAAATGATTATAAGGTAATTCTATGAAAAAAATTGGCTCCTTATGGTTATTGCTTAGTGTTGGAATTTTTCTTCTTCTTTTCATTAGTATTTTTATATTAGTTTTATTGAGAAAAAGGGTGTGACGATTGAGTACGAAAGAAAGATGAAAACTTTATCCACTCATTTCGTCCAAGTTTATGTTTCTCAGATTCTTTTTTTTATGTATATTGTCAGTTTTGTTCTCATTGGATGTTTTGCCTTTGTGAGAAATCCTTTGAGTTCGGTAACCAGGATGAGGGATAATTGAGGATGCCTATTTGTTTTGATTTTAGGGTAAGAGTGAGCAAATGAGTGAATATATCAAAAAGCTAAGGACTTGCATTAGATGGTTAATTGAAAGGGAAGATGGGAACTTGATGGAGCAAGAGAAAATACGGAGTATGCTCGAATCAGAAGAGAAAAGGCATGCTGACAACGGTAATTCCTACAACCATATTTTTTTCCTTGAATGTTTTGGTGAATCATACCTGATACCTGTATCAAGGCTTCAATACTATGTTGTGAATAATCGTATCTGTATCAATGATTCAATTCTATGTTGTGAATAATTGTGCAGAGGCAAAATTGAAGGGTGACATAGAAGGATTAAAGGCCAAAATCGAAGAGCTCCAGGGACAGCATGAATCTATGCAAGAGCTTTTCAGAAAGGAGGAATTTGACAAGAATGTTAGTGACTTTAAAGCTCTATTTCTTTCTAATTCTCTTGCAGAAGGGTTTCGTACTTATGTCGACCTTTGAATAATGCAGGCGGCAATTAAATCTTATGAGGAAGAAAAGGCTGTTAGGATCGCTGCTGAGAAAACTAGGGACGCACTTTCTGAAGAGCTCGTCAAGGCTGGACAAGAGGCAAAGCATCTGGATGATCAAGTAATTGCTTAGTTTATTATCTGGGTTTTGTAATTCTCGTTTGGGTAGTTCTACCTCAAATAGTGGTAATTTTCTGCTATTTTCTTATAGATTAAAGTACATGAAGCAACCAACAAGCGGTTACAAGAGTACAACACTAGCTTGCAGCAATACAATTGTACCCTTCAGGCTGAAGTGGCAAAGAATAGTGAAACAATATCAAAGCTGAATGAGGAGAAGAACAGTATGATGGGTACCATGACCAGTCTAAGAAACAACATGACTTCGATGAAGACTCAGTTGGATAATTATAGGGTGAAGACACTTATTTCCCTGGTTTTTTAATCTTGAAAATAAACATCTTACCATAATAAAAGTAAATAGATAAATAATTAAACCACTTATGTTATGGATATTTGACAATCTTACAATGTCCATTACGTTTGCATACTATGATTGACCTTATGGTATCAGTTATATTTGATGCGTGGTCAGTGGTAACTTAACATTGTATAAATTGGTTGTGAGTTTTTGAATATGACAGGTTGTGATATCAATTGAATTCATGCTATTAGTGGTGTCACCTATTACATTTGTACTTTGAAGTGGTGACTTCATCTATTTTTTTCGTTATTTTAACTTGTCAAAAGAAAATAAACACAGCTATTTCCATTTCTTTTAATGGAAACCATTCATGCACTTCTAGTTTTGTTTTTAAAATTTTTGTTATTTGCTTATTGATGATCATAACTCCTGTAGTATTTTGGTGTTCATGTGAATATATTATCAATCAAACATGTTATGCTACTTAATTAGCAGAAGTAGCAGTCATAAAATTTCCTTATATAAATTCTACAATCTATTAAACAAATTAACTGTGTGAAAAATGGTTATCTTCCACAACAAACACTGGAATAAATGAGACATCTTAGTTCTCTGGTTGACTTAAGCAAGTTGAGTTATTAAATTCAGAAAAATGTAAAGGTTTCTTCTACAGATAACTCATTTGTCTTTTCTTTTTTCCATGGCTTCTTAGATTGGAACTCTGTCTGTTGCTCCGTCTTGTGTGCTTGGATAGTATATTCTGAAAATTTTAAATTTCATCAAGCAAGATTTCATTCTAATCTCTGTGTATAGTTGTCCATTTTACTTGCTATTCAGATTTTCTGTAACACATAACAGCACATAGGCCATCATTGGCTTAAGCCTTAAATATTAATCTAGGTCCTCATTTGCTAAGTTTGTTACTATTCGTTTGACTTTCCAGTTTGCAAGCAAATTATACAATGTTAATGGATAGTATATTCTGAAAATTTTAAATTTTATCAAGCGAGAATTCATGCTGATCTCTGTATAGGTGTCCATTTTACTTTCCATTCAGGTTGACTGTAACACAACGGCACATATGTGATCACCATTGGCTTAAGCCTTAAATATCAATCTAGGTCCTCATTTGCTAAGTTTGTTATTATTCTTCTGACTTTCCATTGGATTCTTTTAAGCAAATTGTACAATGTGAATGCTCAGGCGCACTGTTCACTGAATACCTAATAATATTGAATATTTAAATTTATGTTTTGTTAAGTTGTTAAAAACAACATTCTATGTTTTCTTGTTTTTAATTGACATTCTATACATGTAAATAAAAAAATCAAGCTATTGCAGATTGTAAACCTGATGGCATCATTGCAGTATTTCAAGACTATTTCATGTGTATTCAGGATTCACTTGGTTGGATCTGAAGTGTAGTTATTTCGACTGATTTTATTATGTGCTATTAATGTCTAAACAGTTTAATTGAAGTTCGAGACCTTTAAAGTTTAACCTCCTTGCATAACTTGAACTTTTAATCACTAATGGGATAAGTGCTAGGGGATCTGATCTTTTTTCTCCAATATCACATGAACTCATTGTTTATAGTTTCTTACATTATTTGTTGCCTCAGTCTCTTCAGCACGAGGCTGGAAAGCAAAAGGAAGACTTAAAGAGGGAAGTGGATTCTCTTAGAAGTGACTTGCAGCTAATAAGAGATGACCGTGATACTCAACTAGCCCAAGTACAAAGTTTAGTTGTTGAAATAGCTAATCTCAGAGAACTCACTGGTAAATCTGCTACCGAGGTGGAGAAGACAATGACAAAAGCCAATGCGCTTGAGGTTTGTTACCCCAATTTCTTGTTTAGCTCCTTATTTCTTATATTTACAAGATTTTTTTATTATCTGCAGGAGACCTGCTCTTCTCAAAGGGAGAGAATACAAGCACTGCTTCAAGAGCTTGCAATTGCAAAGGAGAAATTGAAGGTTAACATATTTTGGGGGAAAAAACTTTGTTAGTTAGTTACTATCAAAACATTGCTTCAAGAGCTTGCCATGACCCTTTTCTCTCCTTTTTAGATGGCTGATTTGACAGCCACACAGACAATGACAGAGTATGAAGAGCAAAAGAGGACAACAAAAGATTTAGAAAATCGTCTTGCGGATGCAGAATATCAAATTGCAGAAGCAGAAAAGCTGCGTAAAGAATTGCACAATACTATATTGGTACTACACTGTCTGTATCACAATAGAGCTAAGAAAATACCATGTCACTGAACCGTTTATTTTGCAGGAGCTAAAAGGAAATATTCGAGTTTTTTGCAGAGTTCGACCTGCTTTGTCCGACAGTGATTCTAGCAGCTCAGATGGTGTAGTTGTTTCGTATCCCTTATCCACTGAACTTCGTGGGCGTGGTATTGACTTGATGCACAATGGTAATACAACTTTCTTGTTATTTCTTGATTGGATTCTTCAATGAAAAAAAACTTTAATGTGGAATAATTGGGCATTAGATGATTGTTATTCTTTTCTGTTAACAGCAAAAACTATTCCCTTTGCTTTTGATAAAGTCTTCAATCATGAAGCTTCTCAAGAAGATGTTTTTGTTGAAATCTCACAGTTAGTTCAGAGCGCACTTGACGGTTATAAGGTATTTTGCAGTCTTGTTCTTTTGACCATAATTTCAGGAGTATATTGGACATTCTATTTGTTGGCAGTTCATTTCTCTGTTTTATTTGTTCATCATTTTTCCTTGTCATTTCTTTGCTTTCCTTCATCTCGAATTTTTTTTCTTAATGCTTGTTCTAAATATATGACGCTCACTAGCAAAATTCAGCGTTTGTGCATACAAAAACATTTTTGGCAAGCTTTAGGTTTTTCTAAGTTTTCCACCTGCTATATATTCATCTTTGCCAAACAGCAATCTTACTGTTTTCTTTCTAATATTTTGTGGATTGGCTTACATACATTTTGTTGAATCTTAAAAGAAGTTTGTTGACCATTTAGCCATTTTAGATGTGCAGTTAGACTTTTGAACATGTTTATTACCTATGATTCATGTAGTCCAATGATGATGTCGAAAGACACACGTGCACAAATCTTGAAGCAACCAAATTGGAAAAGAGTTTTGAATTTTCTTCCAATAGTTAACGTAGATATGTTCTCTAGCTTATTTGTTATTATGCTAATCGCTAATTGAATGGAGTTTTGCTACTCTTTATGGCAGGTCTGTATCTTTGCTTATGGCCAAACAGGTTCGGGTAAAACATACACTATGATGGGTATGACCGACTCTCCTCAACAGAAGGGTCTAATACCGAGGTCCTTGGAACAAATTTTTCAAACAAGCCAATCTAAATTATCACAGGGTTGGAAATATAAAATGCAGGTGGCTTTTCTGTCGTTAAAGATCAACAGTATTGAAGCGGTGATAATCACAATTTAACTTTTTATGTAATTATTGCGCATCTTATTGCAGGCATCAATGTTGGAAATATATAATGAAACAATACGTGATTTATTATCATCTAATCGCTCAGGAGGCCTTGATGTCAAGCATGATACAAATGGGAACACATGTGTGCCTGGCCTTACTGTTGTTGATGTCTGCAGCATTAATGAAGTTTCCTATCTCTTACAACAGGCTGCACAAAGCAGGTTAATTTTCTTGATCATTCGACATAATTTCTTTGTGATGCAGGTCTTATAAGTTAGCTTATCTGAAAGTAATATCGTTTAATATGAATTATGATATTGTGATCTATTTAAGTAATATTTGTCCCGAAGATCTGTAATTGTGAATATATATTTTAAAGGTCACACTGTTTTGTGCTTTTTCCATCAATAATCATATTCTTTTCAAATATTTGAAATTCACGGATGGTTTATCTTGAAAGCTTTTGATAGGAAAGATAGGCTCTGAATTTATTTTATGTATTTGTTTATTTCTTCTTTGGTATGACATATTGTCCTATCTGTAACCTACGGGCGAGAGTTTCCAGTAGAATTCGAGTTATATTTGTCAGGAATGGCATGTAAGAGATACTTTGAGTTCATGTTATGGTTCACAAACCAGAGAAGGAATATTTCAAATAGTAATCTTCACTGCAAATATGGGCACATATTTGCTGTATGTGGTCCCTTTTGCCAGCAACACTTGGCAATTTGGCAATGCTATGCTAACTTGACTGCTTCCCCATCATGTGTAACCCATTCTCTCTGATTTTCTTTTGTCAATCAAGAAGTTTATTTTGAGAACGGCTATCTATCATTGACATTGCAGATCTGTTGGCAAAACCCATATGAATGAAGAGTCATCAAGAAGTCACTTCGTGTTCACTTTACGAATTTCTGGAGTAAATGAAGTGAGTCACGTCCCTCATTTCATTTGGTTGAAGAATTCTCTTTAATAATTTGCTCATGGATAAAATTTCTTTCCAGAACACAGACCAACAAGTGCAAGGAATACTAAACCTAATTGATCTTGCGGGAAGTGAGCGCCTTAGTAGAAGTGGTGCGACAGGCGACCGTCTCAAGGAAACTCAGGTGACTGTTCGTTTTATCTCAAGCTGTGTATTAATACCTTTACCTTTTCATTTAGGGCTAATTTCGGATAGACCCACTGTAGTTCTATAATTGCTGTTAAACCCCCTGAGTGAGATTTTAAAAAAAAAACTTGTTTAGTCTCAGAGGAAGAGAATTTTTTTTTGATAAGTAGACCTATTAAAAGAGTAGAAAGAATTCACTCATGGGTTCATCTACAACAATAGAACTACAAGGGACCTATCCGCAATTAGTCGGGTAGTACAGGGGGTTTCTGCAATTAACTCTTTCAGTTATCTAGCCTGTTAATTAACTTTCTATAGTGATTTGATTTTAGGCAATTAACAAAAGTTTGTCGTCTTTGAGGGACGTAATCTTTGCCATTGCAAATAGAAAAGAGCATGTTCCTTACCGAAATTCCAAGTTAACTCACCTTCTTCAGGTAGTGCTATTTATAGTTTATATATTTTATAGTAGAAATTTCTTGAAAAACATGTTATTCTCTTTCCATATCCTGAATTGAACTGCATTGTCTATAGTCATGCCTCGGTGGGGAGTCCAAAACTTTGATGTTTGTCAATATTTCCCCCGAAGCATCATCGTCTGGAGAGTCATTTTGTTCTCTTCAGTTCGCTACTGGTGTTAATTCATGTGAGATTGGTATTGCTCGACGACAAACCCAAATGCGTTCTTCAGATTCACGACTGAGTTACGGCTAGTCTTCCCTCCATGGACTCTTGGTAATTTAGAAAGTTGAATCGACTAATATTTCTTCCCTATTACTTGTATAGTGAGAACATAATTTTGTTGGAAACCAGCATTGTTTGTAACTTGGTAGTGGGGAGTACTGTTTATCATATTGTTTGTAACTTGAGAGAACCTAGGTGTTACCAGCTTCACAAGAGCGTGACCAGTGATTGTTGTATTTGTAACCTACATCCTTATTTCTTAGCAATCAACCATCCATCTATCTATTATAATCCAGCAAGGCACAGTATAATGCCTGTCTTTTGTTTTACCTGATTGAATGAATTTACTGTTTGGAGTTGTTTGTTTGATGTTTTGGGAACAAAATTAGTAGTTGAACTGTAAAAAAGAGTTTTCATAGCCTGATAACGATCTTGTAGTGTGGAATTAGTTTGACGAAGAGTGTTGGCGCACGCCAACAGCAGCCCTGATAACGATCGTTAGCCATCAACTGACGAGCTGTGTAAGCATCACCAAACACCCAAGCAGAGCTCCTCCTTCGTAGAATAATCGATCACCCGGCAATGTGAAGACTATAAGAACCCGTGTTCGAACCAAAGAGAAAGAAGAGGGAATCACGACGAAAGAGAGAACAAGAGCAAAGACGAGAGATTTACGTGATTCGAGTCCTCTTTATATCAGAAATTGTAGAGGTACAACATTACTTGTGTTCTTCGTAGAACCCACAAGAAATCATCTCTCAACACTCACCAAAATATCTCACTACCTATCTTTTACAAAATGCAACTCTCCTCAGACTTCTCACTTGATTTCTTTTCTTATTTGCTCTTTACCAATCTTTTACAGAATGCTACTCTCATTGGCTTAGTTCTACCCCGGATCTCATGAACAACTCTGTTTATAGAGTCAGAACACGGAATACGAAAGAATCCTCACTAGCCAATCTACACCAGATCTCAGTAACAACTATGTTTGTACAGTGAATGTAACGACATCATGGTCTTACTCTATTACATGCATAATAACGACACAAATGCAAACAACACAAGTTGATACTCTCCTCCCGTTTCGTTTTTTATATTATTTTAAAATAAGATATAAGTTCAAAATTCCTCTCCACCTTATTGTTCATATATCCGCATGATGTCATAGGCTCTTTTTTTATATTATTATCATTCCCAATTGACCGGCTTATCTTTTTGGAGGCAATCATTCATTAATCGCTTATCCAATATTTCTTGCTTTTAAAATAAGTGGGCCAAGGCCCATTTAGGCCCACACCATTATGTGCTCTCGGCATGTTTTGACGCGTGATCCCGCCCCCTCTCCGGCAGCCAATCTCAGCTTCGATTTCTGCATCAAAATCTAGGGTTAGGGGGGTTAGAATTAGGGTTTTCGGTGGAGATATATTTTTTTTTGAGATGGCGTCGCCTGAGAACTCAAATTGGGTCCTTGATTACCCACTGATCGACAGCATCTCAGTGACCGGCGGCGATTTTGGCGTCCCTGGAAACGGGTTCTTCTGGACCCCGCAAGGGATCAACTGTACTCCCAGCGCTAGGTGTTTTTTATTTTGATTCGAGTTGTTATTTTAAGTTATGTCCATTTTAGGGCTTCTGATATGCGAAAGATTGAAACTTTTTTTTGATTCGGTATCGAATTGATAAGCTTAGGCACAAGGTCAGTGATAGAAAGAGAGTATTTTTATATCAAATCAACGGAAAAAAAGAAGAACCCTTTAGCTGATTTACTCGAGACTGGTCTTTCAACCCTATACGACTGCGTGATGGATGTTGGTCAATTTAGGGGTATAGGTAGATTGCCTCCTTATGTTGGAAATGCATTTGGGTTTTGACATTACAGTATGTGAACTTTGAACGACTATAATGCGCCGTTTGATATGTGCTTTAATTTAAGATGGAAGAATTTACCCTATTTTGGTTTATATGGATCGTTGGCATGCCGTATTAAGTTCTCTCACGATATTGTAGAATACCATATGAGAAGTCATTTCTAATTTGCTGCAGAGCAGTGGCGGATCCAGGATTTCAAGGAAGTGGTGTCACCAACTAACATTTAACAAAATTTACAAACCTCTCTAACAAGTTTTAACATCTTGAAAGAGTTGTAATAGCATCACTAAGAAAACTATTAGCTGCATCATTCTCAGTATTTGTCACTAAAAAAATCTCAAGTCATCGTTACTCATTTTGTTCGGCAACTTACTCTGTCAAATTTACAACTTTCTCTCTTTCCAGTTTAGGAATTTCTTAAATTTATAACTAGAAAGAGTTTTGACAAACACTATGAGAACTGTAGGGGGATCGTTGTGAAATTTCCCCATAGATGAAAGCAAGTCCTCCTCATCTATATTCTATATCATAGAGAAACCGAGAAAGCCAAAGCAATTTCCATCAAGCTCTTCTCCCCAATTCTCCCTCTCTCAACATCCCAATGGAAACACCCCCCTCTCTTTCCAAACAATGTGGAAATGTGTGTAGAGGCTTCCTATATATTCAACTCACTCTTGCTGCCTCCTTTGGGTCCTCAATGTCATATGGAACACCTATGAGGAAGTGGTTTCATGTGACACCGCTTCCTCGTAGGCAGATCTGCCCTTGCTCCAGAGTGCTCTGCAATTCTTTACCAGGTTGAACTGTTGCATCCAATTGTAACCATCAGCATCGAAACTTTGCTATTTGATTGTTTGCCCCCCTATATTTATTCGTCTTGTTAGTTCTCTCTTCTGCCTCTCCATACCACATCTTTACCTCTTCCTGATATGATAAATTTGTGTTGTATCAGTATGGAAACTAGTGGCAACTCGGTGGATTCTGCTGTTCTTAAAGAACCAGGCTCTAAGAAACGGTTTGACTCCTCAGTTATGGCCTAGTACTTTGATTTTATGTTAATTTTGCTTGCGTCAAGTACTAACCGCTCTCACTTTTGTAGTGTCAAGTCTGTACCCAGCAGCAGGGAGAAAATGAGAAGGGATAGGTTGAATGACAAGTATGTTAACGTCTTTATGATCCTTCGCTTCATATTATGCTTCTGTCTCTTATATTGTGTTGCCATTTTCTTAACTGAAGGTTCATGGAGTTGGGCTCTATTCTGGAACCTGGAAATCCCAAAATGGATAAAGCAGCTATTTTGAGTGATGCTGTTAGGATGGTGACCCAGTTGCGTAGTGAAGCGCAAAAGCTGAAAGATTCTAATGAGAGTCTCCAGGAGAAGATCAAAGATTTGAAGGTCAGCATGCATGTTTTTTGTTATCTTGAGTTGTATTTTGCTTCATATCTGTTTGGTATGCCATTTGGAAAGTATAACAGCGTACTTCCAAGTTTTCAAGCATTAAAAGATGTGTAGGTGACCTTAGCATGTCCTTCATTCTGTGTTACTCATTCTCTATGAGCACCTATAGGTGAATTTGATACATGCACCAATTGATCACTCTCCTAGTTATGTGGTCTTACTTTCAGTTGTTTTTATTCTTAGCGCTTGAGGTGAGTGGTGCATATACACAGAATCTCGTGACATCAAGCCAATCAATCTAATTGTAAAATGATGTATGCCCTCCATCTTTGGCATAAGAACTGCACTTTTTCCTTGCATTTACCCTCAGCCAAAAAATCTCTTATGTTTACATTGCTCATATTGCTGTTCTGTCAACCTAATAAACAGAATGTTGTAGACATAAGAAATGTTTTTAGAAAACATATCATGGAGCCAAGGCAACTTGTGTATACTTTTGAGATATATCAAGTTGGTTAGCTGGAGCAGCTTAAGTGAATCTAATAGCTGGGCTGGTATATTCGTTATAGTCTCAAGCAGGTTGTTGATGTTATCCCTTGGGTGTGCCACGTGGATGAGATGGGGCATGTTATGCACGTGAAAAATTAAAAAATAGCCTTAAGGTTATTGGGTCAATATGATTAATGGGCACGAATAGAATTTATAAAGGGGATATTGTGAGGATGAAATTAAAATTAAAGGATTTCAATCCCAAGGACAAGTGTGCAAGCTGGATGTAATACTTTCGTATTGTATTTGTGGATGGTTTTAAATGAACATGTATTTAAGAAATGGACAGGACGTGATAAACTTATGTCTTAAGAATTAGGGATCAAAATAATTGAGCAATGAAAATATTATGACTGAAACTGAGGCCAAATTGATGAAGGAAAAAAGCTTCAGCTAACTGTGAACAAGAGAACATGAATAGGACAAATATTTCCAACATAAGTTGAGGACCTGGCTAGTATGTAAGGGAAGAGAAGAGCTGAAATAATTAGAAGACAAGGAGGAAAAATATTGATATAACTATGTCATTGAAGCAACTTTAACAATATAAAACCTTCAAAAGTTTCCTATTACTTAATAAGATAATTTGTTTTTACATGTTCTGTGCATCTTTCTAGACTCTCAGTTGGAAAAAAGATTTGCGATTTAATGGGCTATAACCTTAAATTTTTTTCAATATTCATTTGTTTCGATGCAACATCCAATAATTATGTGTACTTCAAAATTCACGATTTTCATGGACTATTATTACCCACAATTTTTAAATATTTCAAGTTTTATGCGCTATAACTCACAATTTTTGTCAATTTTCTTTTGTTTCAACCTAATGGCAAATAAGTTTTCTTTCTTAAACAATCACGATTTTTATGGCCTATAACCTGTGATGTTTGTCAATTTTTGTTTTTCAAATGAATGGAAATAAATATGCGTACTTCAAACTTTGTGATTTTCATGGGGCGATAACCTATGATTTTTCTTAATTTTCGTTCTTAAGACCATATGGAAAATAATTATGGATACTTCAAACTTCATGATTTTCGTGGACTATAACGCATGCTTTTTGTCTCTTTTGTTCATTTCGACCATTTAGCAATTAGTTGTGCCGACTTTAATATTTGCGATTTTCATGGGCTTTACACGTCTTTTGTCCGATTATTGTTCATTCGATCCAAACTCAATTTATTATGACTACTTCAAAATTCACGATTTTGGTGGGTTATAACCAACAATTTTGGCAATTTTTGTTTCTCATTCCAATGGCAAGTAATTATACATACTGTAGTTATCTCGAATCATGGGCTATGACCCACGATTCTAGTTTATATTCAATAATTTCGACCTAATTGAATTTAATTTTCTTTAATCAATATTCGTGATTTCCATGTGTTATAATCCACGATTTTTGTAACTTTTTGTTCTTCGATCGTATGACAATAAATGTGTACTTCAAAATTCGTGACTTTCATAGCTGTAGTCATTGATTTTTATCCATTTTGTTCGTTTCAACCATTTAACATTTTATTTTGCGAACTTCAATATTCGAGATTTTCATGGGTTATAACCTATGATTGTCTATTTTTGTTCATTCAACCCAATGACAATTAATTATGACTATAAAATTCACGATTTTGGTGTGTTATATAACCCATGATTTTGGCAATTTATGTTTCATATGTCCTAATGGCAAGTAATTATACGTACTTCAAAATTTGCAAACTTTGTAGGTTATAACCTAAAATTTTCGTCTATTTCGGATAGTTTTAGCCTGATGAAATTTAATTTCTTTCATAGTAAGTTCACAATTTTCGTGAGCTCTAACCCATGATTTTTTGTAAATTTTTGTTTTTCGACCTGATGGAAAATAACTATGCTAACTTCAAAATTCGTGACTTTCGTAAGCTATAGTCCATATTTTTCCATTTAGTTTATTTCAATCATTTAGCAAATAATTGTGCGAACTTCGGTATTAGCAATTTGCAAGGGTCATAACTCGCAATTTTCGTCCATTATCACATAAGTACAATTAATTGTGGCTACTTCATAATTTGCAATTTTGATGGACTAAAAACCCAAGATTTTGGCATTATATATTCAATTCATCCCAATCTCATGTAATTTTGCGTACTTAAAGATTCTCAATTTTCATGGGAATAACCCACGATTTTAGTCTATTCTCAATAGTTTTGGTCAGATGGAATTAAATTTTGTTCATCGAAAATTTATGATTTTCATGTGCTGTAGCCATGGAAAATTATGCGTACTTGAAAATTCATGACTTTCATAAGCTATAGTCCATGATCTTTATTCATTTTGTTTGTTTCGACCATATAACAAGTGAATTTTAATATTTGCGATTTTCATGATTTGTTGTGATTTTTGTTGATTATCATTAATTTAACCCAATTACAATCAAATTTGACTACAAAATTTTCTATTTTCATGGGTTATGACCCATGATTTTTGTCCATTTTCTTCGTTTTGATTATTTAGTAATTAATTGTGTGAACTTCACTAAGCGTAATTTTCATTGGTTATAACCCGTGATTTTGTCCTTTATCATTCATTTGATCTAGTGACATAGTGGCCGAGCCAGGAATTTTGGCAAGAGGGGTCAAAAAATAATCAAACATGAGAACATATAATTTTTTAGCACAATTGATTAGTATCCAAACATCATTATACAATAAGACATTCAAAATCATACTTCCAATTATAATATGAGATTAATGAGTGTCCTATGTCAAGAAGGGGATTTCCTCCTTGAAAATGATGTGGCATAATTCCCACCATGTGAATAAAGTAGGAGAGAATATCACATGGTGGGGATTGTGCCACATCATTTTCAAGGAGAAAATCCCCTCCTATGACAATGATACCCATTATTCTCTTATAATATATTGTTTAAAATAGCATTGACTAGACATTCATTCATGTAATCATCTCCCATTCGGTTTCGAAGATCATTCTTAATAACAAGAAGAAACAATTCACACTTAGAATAAACTAGCTTAGATATCCATTAAAGTTAATAAACAACATTAAACAAGAGAAAGTTAAGAAATTTTCTTTTGATATTTTGTATGTTTTAACGAAAACAAACTGATCATGTAAAAGTGACAAGCCTTCCTTTCTCCTAGAGAAACTTATCCCATTTGAGGCATTAGAACAAAACAAAATCAAGCCCTAATTTGATGAAAACTCACTCCCAATTGTAATTCTTATGAGTGGTTGAGCTGTGGCAAAAGAGGGCTAGGGTTTTCGAGGGTCGAAGTGGCTGGAGATCTAGGGTTTGCAGTGGGCGAGACAAGGGTTGGAGCACAGTGGAGGTCAGGGTGGAGTTTGGACGTCCGACAAAAGGGAAATCTGAGGGATCAAGGTTTTTGAGAGGGATTTGAGAATGGTTGAGGAAGGTTGCAATCGCTAGATGAAGCAATCTGTTTGTGGAAATAAGATAGAAACCTAGAGAATTGAGGGCTTTACACTTTAACATTTGTAGTCATACAAAATTGCCATATATGCAGCATACCCCCTATTTGTTTTTCTATTTCCAGGGGTGGGGGCAGAGACCCAAAGGACCCACGGTACCTCCGCCCCTGTAATGACAATTAATAATAACTGCTTTATAATTTGCTATTCTAGTGAGTTATAACCCACAATTTTGGCATTTTATGTTCGATTATTCATGGTGACAAGCTATTTACATACTTGAAAATTCGCAATGTTCATAGGTTTACCAATGATTTTAGTTTATGTTTGATAGTTTTCGTTTGATGGAATAAAGTTTTCTGTCATCGAAAATTTGCGATTTTCATTGGCTCTAACCCGCTCTTTTTGTAAATTTTTGTCCTTTGACCCAACGAAAAATACTCATGCAAACTTCAAATCTTCTGACTTTCATAGGCTATAGGTCTTGATTTTTGTCCATTTTGTTCGTTTCGACCATTTAGCCTTTAATTGTGTGAACTTCAATATTCACAATTTTAAGGGTTAGAACCAACAATTTTTGTCCATTATTGTCCATTGGAACTATTAATAGTTAATTATGATTATATAATTTACAAATTTAATGAACTGAAAGGATTTTGGCATTTTGTGTTCAATTTGTCCTAATAGCAATTAATTATATGTATTTCAAAATTCACGATTTTCATTAGCTATAACATATGCTTGTCTATTCTCGATAGTCGACTTTGGAATTAAATTTTTCTTTCATTGAAAATTTGTAATTTTCTGGGCTATAACCCATGATTTTTGTAATTTTTGCTCTCTGACCCGATGAATTTTTTCCATTTTGTTTGTCTTACCATTAGGCAGTTGAATGTGCGAACTGCAATATTCGCGATTTTCATGGGTTATAACCATGATTTTTCCTCCGTTGTTTATTTGATCCAATAATAATTAATTTTTACTGCTTCATAATTTGCAACTCTAGTGGATTATAGCCTACGATTTTGGCATTTTATGTTCGATACATCCTAATAGCAAGTAATTATACATGCTTTTTAAAATTTGCTATTTCCATGGGCTATAACCCACTATTTAGTCTGTTTTTAAGAGTTTCGACTGATTAAATTTTCTTTCATTGAAAATTTACGATTTTCATGAGCTAACCCATGATTTTTATAATTTTTTTCTTCAAATCGTTGGAAAGTAATTCACGATTTTCATGCGCTATAATTCACAATAATTTGTAAATTTTTGTTCAACCTTATGGAAAATATTTATGCGTACTTTAAAAATCTTGAATTTCATTTTCTATAATCTTTTAGTCCATAAATTTTGTTTATTTTGTTTGTTTTGACTGTTAGTTCTATGCTCACCACTTTTATGGGTTATAACCCGCGATTTTTTTAGTTCTTTTGACCATATAACAATTAATTATGATGACTTCAAAATTCACGGTTTTGGTTATAACCCACGATTTTGGCATTTTATGTTGGAATCGTCCTAATGGCAAGTAATTATGTGTACTTTAAAAATTGTGATTTTCATAGGCTATAACCAATGATTTTAGTCTACTTTCAATAGTTTAAGCCTGATGGAATTAAATCTTTCGTTGAAAATTCATGATTTTTTAGGCTATAAGCCATGATGTTTGTAAATTGTTCTTCAAGCTGATGGAAAATATTATGCAAACTTTAAAATTCGTGAGTGTCGTAGGCTATTGCCCGTGATTTTTGTCCATTTTGTTTGTTTCAAACATTTAGTAAATTGCGTGAACTTCAATATTTGCGATTTCAAGGATTATAAACCATGATTTTTGTCTATTATTGTTCAATTGACCCAATGACAATTATCATAATTTGCAAATGCGATGGGATTTACCCACGATTTTTGCATTTTATGTTTAATTCGTCCAAATTACAAATAATTATTTGTAACAAAATTCATGATTTTCAAGGGCTATAGTCTATGATTCTAGACTATTTTTGATAGTTTCAGCTAGATGGAATTAAGTTTTCTTTTTTTGAAAGTTTACAATTACCATGGAATAACCTACGATGTAAATTTCTGTTCTTCGATCTGGTGGAAAATAATTCACTATTTTTGTGGGCTATAACCAATGTTTTTTTGTAAATTTTTGTTTTTCGACCAATGGGAAATAATTTTACATATATCAAAATTCATAGCTTTCGTAGGGTATAGTCCACAGTTTTTGTTCATTTTTGTTTCGACCATTTAGCAATTAATTATGCGAACTTCATTGTTCATGAAAAATATTCATGACTTTCATTGGTTACGACCCGCGATTTATGTCCGTTATCGTGCATTCAACTAAATGATAATTAATTATGACTATTTCATAGTTCGCGATTTTCAAGGGTTATAACCCATGATTTTGTCATTTAATGTTTGATTTGTTCCAACAATAAGTAATCTATGTTACGTGGGTACTTCTAATCTAAAGCTATACAGGTACCGGACGTGACCGTACCCAAACTCCTTGGACACTCCTCGCATAAATGCATGCATTTATTTGGGCATGTACTCAATTATACAATAGATTTTAATTTAAAACATTTGTCATACATATTTGGGACATATATCCTACACTTGACACCCAATTCTTGAAACTCATTTGACACAGGTTAGGTTTCAAATTATATCTTTGACATAGGTTACGTTTTAAATTATATCTTTAAGTGACGTTTGGATGTCTAGTTAAAAAACTAGTGGTTTTTCACTTTATAATCCACATAATAAAAGAAACATAAAATTGTTATATAGGACTTTTATTCTCATCCTTGATCTCATACAAATTATTAATTTGAATATATAATATATTTGTGTATAAATATTTATAGTCGTGTTCCCGTACCCTACAGTGTACAAATTTGCTGTATCCCTTACCTGTGCCAACATCTGTACCCGTACCCATGCAGCATAGCAATTACTTGTAAATACTTAAAAATTTCGTGATTTCTGCACACTTTGACCTGTGATTTTAATCTATTTCGAATCTTCAATAGTTTCGGCCAAATGAAATTAAATATTCTTTCATAGAAAATTCACGATTTTCATGGGTTATGGCCTGATGTTTGTAAATCTTTGTTTGACTTCGTGGAAAATAACTATGCAAATATCAAAATTCGTGATTTTTGGAAGCTTGTAGTCCATGATTTTTTTCTATGTTGTTCGTTTCGACTATTTAGCAATTACTTGTGCGAACTTCAAAGTTTGTGTTTTTCAAGGGTCAGTCGCTCTTTTTGTCCATTATCGTTCATTCGACCCAATGATAGTTAATTATGACTAGTTCATAATTTGTAATTTTGGTAGACTATAACCCAATATTTTGGCATTCTATATACAATTCGTCCCTATAGCAAGTAATTGTACGTACTTCAAAATTCGCGATTATCATGGGCTAAAATGCACAATTTTAGTCTATTTTTGATAAATTTGAATTAATAGAATTAAATTTTTTCACATTGAAAATTTGTGATTTCCATGGGCTATAGCACATGAGCTCGGTAAATCTTTGTTTGCGACCTGGTGGAAAATAATTCGCGATTTTCATGGACTATAACTTACGAGTTTTGTAAATTTTATTCATTGACCCGATGGAAAATAATTATGCTTTAAAGTTCATGACTTTCATCCATGATTTTTGTCCAGTTTGTTCGTTTCAACTATTTAGCAATTAATTATGCAAACTTCATTGTTCGCGATTTTCATTGGTTATAACCCACGATATTTAGCTATTATCATTCATTCGACCCAATGACAATTAATTATGTTTGCTTTATAATCTGCAATTCATAGGTTATAACCCACGATTGTTGTATTTTATGTTCGATTTGTCCCAATAAGAAGTGATTATACGCACAACATAATTCGCGATTTTCATAGGTTGTAATTGACGATTTTAGTCTATTTTCAATAGTTTCGGCCTAATGAAATTAAACTTTCTTTCATAAAAAATTCATGATTTTCATAGGCTATAACCCATGATTTTCCTAGTCCATAATTTTTATTCATTTGATTCGTTTCGACCATTTACAAAAAAAAATCATGATTTTCATAGGCTATACCCCATATTTTGATTAACTGGACATTGGTAGATGGCAAACAGATATCCTTGTGACTTTGTGCTTTTGGAATCAGAATTTTAAGGCCTTTTGGCCTTTTTAGGTTATATTTCATTTATCTTTTTTGTGGACGCTTGTTGTGTAGGCGCAGAATATTTTGAACTGAGATATTGGGAATTGTTAACTTTTATTGCAAAATCAACGTGGCTTTAGTTTTGTTTTTTCATTGGGAAAGTAACCAAGAGTCACTGTTTATGCTTTCTGTAGTGCAGTATAGTGACGTTCATTGCACAATATTTGGTTGTCATATTTTATGAACGGATTAGGAAGCGAAAGCAAGTGTCCTTGCCTACTGTTACGAATTGGTTTCCCCAAACTGTTTTACATGGTAAGCATATTATGAATTTCTCCATGCTATTATTTATCTCTTTCTCATCTAGGAAGCATGAATATATATGAACATGCATCGTATGACATTGACAGAAAATTCTTAACACATGCCATGAAGTATTGTGGATTATACAGACAGTGAATATGGACACAAACTAACCTGTGTTCACAAATAGCACTGTCCTTGCTACACAAATTCTCATACATGCTCGTCTATAAATTTTGACCTTGCTAAGCTTTATATAATTTTTATTAACCTTTTAATTATTGCAGTCTGAGAAGAATGAACTCCGTGATGAGAAGCTAAGACTAAAGCAAGAAAAAGAGAATCTAGAGCAGCAAATCAAATTGTTGAACTCTCGCCCAAGCTTCATGCCTCAGCCTTCTGTAATACCAACAGCTTTCGCAGCCCAAAGCCAAGGAGGAGGGCACAAGATGATGATGCCTGTCATTGGCTATCCTGGATATCCAATGTGGCAGTTCATGCCACCTGCAGATGTTGACACCTCGCAGGATGCCGAGTCATGCCCTCCTGTTGCTTAAGCCAAAAGAAATCAATAGGTGGCTTCTATGAATCTATTACTTGCTTCTTTCTCCCCTCAAATCATTTGGCATTGTTACTGGACTTAGCTTTTAACACTCTGTTTTATCATTAAACTTGGCTAGTTTAATTGTTCTGTATTAGTAGCTGGTGACTGCCGTTCGTATTTGATTGTAAATTTCAATAAACAGATCCAGCTTTTCATGTAATTGTTAATAAGTGATAAGCATGGGGATCTCTTATCCCCAATTTAATAACGTGATAGCTTTACTGATTCTTTGTCTCATGGAAAATTTTGAGAGGTAAAGTTGTCAATTGTGTAGTCTGTGTTCATTCAGTGTCGGTAAAAATGTTGATTCCGTTGCCTTGTGATTGTTAATTGATATTAAGAGTATCCAACTTATTGCCCGCCATTCTAAACTATATGGGCTCTGCCGAAAATTTGGGTTAACGGCTTTGCTGTTGTTGGAGTGTTGTATTTGTTACTAAGCTATAATCTCTGGCTGCTAGTAGAACTTTGTTTTTTTACTTTTTATTCCTGAGTTTAATGTGGCAAATATATTTTGTTCTGTGCCATTATTTTTGTTAATTTCATGTATTTGATCTTTAAGGAACCTATAAACATCCAATTTATTTGCTTTACAGAATCGAAGAATGAAGAAAGAAAACTGCTGCTGGTTTGCATATTTCGTATCAAAAGCACAGGTACAATAAGTTTATTCATCCACAAGAAAACCATAACAATCAGTCTGGTTCTCAGAGCACCAAAGCTGTCATCATGCTTGTTGTGATGCCCAGTTTGTCACCGGACTGAAGCAGTTACCTGCTGATGGTTGTGCTATAGGAACTGTTTCAGTCAGGGTTGAATCTGGCACCACCGCTGATACGCCCTGCGCCATAATGCGTGCCAATGGCGAAGAATCACCAGTCAACTGCGCACTTTGAAGAGCTCCAGAATTGACTGTTGGCGGCCCAAGCTCTGCAGGCACAGTGTTAATCTCCACCTTCATCCCGCTGCTGCAATGCCCTTCAACTCCACAGATGAAGTATCTCTTACCCGGTAGAGGATAACTTGATGACTGTATTCCCATCAGTGTGACTATTTATCGAACCGGTAATTGAGCAGGCATCATAGTCGGCCTTGGATACTTCCACGACAGAGTGGAAAGGTCCATAGGAGAAAGCTGCAAAATGT